TGCATGTTCCACAAAGGCTGCGGGAGGTCTGCCCGGCTCCCAGCCCACGCCAGTCCAGCTGCAACCCCTCCAGCACGACACGGCTGCTCCCTTAGGACCAGCCACACCCTCACACTACAGCCACTGCCAGACCATCCGAACCTTTTGGGGATCCCCCTCGCTCCAGCCCTTTAACTCTGTGCTCCTCCGACCTGCTCCTGGGGCCGAAGCCCATCACAGAGAGTCATGCGCAGGTGCTTGGTGGGCTCCCATGTCCGTCTCCCCCCTTACCTGCCACGTTCAGCTGCCCACCAAGGAACCAGGAGAGCCTGCCCTGGCGCAGGTCACAGTCCTGGACGGAGGGGGAGGGGGTGATCCAGGTGAGCCGGTTCCTTCCTAGCGCTCCCCAGAAGGCATCCCCCTGCTCCACCGACACCTTGTACAAGCCCTGGTGGTCCTTGGGTCCGGGGAAGGCGATGGCTTCAGGCATGTAGGCAGTGAGGGGCCCGTGACTCCAGGCTGGGGCAGCCACTGACCCAGGGTGGCATCTGGGAGCTTGAGAAAGAGCTTTAGGGCAGCAAGCCCTGGCCAGCAGCCTGGCCGTCATCGCAGCTCCCCCACACAAGGAGCCGGGGTGCCCCTGCTCCCCTGCCTCGTTCCTCTCCTCCCCTCTCCCAGAGCACCAAGGGGAAAAAGAAATTCAATCCCTTAAAGGGAGGGGAAAGGGGCGGGCTGTAGAAATATTTGACTGAAAATAACCTTCAGGTCAATCTGAGTCCTGACGCCACTCCTGAACGGGAGCCAGGTTCAGCGGCTGCCTGGGCTCCCCGCGGGGACTGAGCTGCCCGGGCTGGGCTCTACCAGCCCGCTCCTGCTCACACTCTCCTGGGGCTGCTCTCTGCCTCCTCCCTAACGCTTCGCACCAGTCTGTACCACAGGGCGGACTGGGAGCACCCAACGAGGCCGTGGTGGAGCAGGGGGTGGTGGCTTGGCATAGAACGCTGCAGCCCACCCTCTCACGCTGAGACCTCCCACCGCTCGCTGTAGCAGAGCTAAACTGACGCCCTGCCTCCAAATTGCCTTTTTTTTTTGCCTCCCTTTCTTTCAGGCCCTATATAGGTAGCGTTTTTTCAGGCAGAGCTCGGAGATTCCCTGAATTTCATTGACCAGGTTCCCCTCGCTTCCTAGGGAGCACAAGAGAAAAGCAGAAAAAGGCTCCACCTGCAAGCAGGGCTGTTGTCAGCCAGGCACACCGACAGGATCGACAGCAGGACAAGAGGGCCAGCAGATCTCCTCTTTGCCCTTCCCAGCATGACACCACTCGTGGTCTGCAGGGCTGAGCTGCTTGGTGGACGGGCTTGGCACCAGCGTGGCAGACAGGCAGGGTTTGACTGCGGGTGCGCTCATCCCAGCCACATGCCTGGTTTGTATCAGAGCTGCCCCCAGAGTTAGGTGGGGACCTACGAGGGCTCTGCCCCCTGGCTGGGGAAACACAGTCCTGTGGGCTTACTGTCCCTTCACAAAGCCAAGCCCAAGCAGTAACATCATTCCCACAAGCAAAGTCTCTCTTTTCCTGTGCACCTCTGCTCTGCCTCAGCATTTTTCCCCTGCAAGACATAAGATTTTTGCATCAGACCATCCCCCAGATGCCCTTAGCAGGGTGGGGAGATCTCAGCTCCTTCTCTGATGACTCAGTATGGGTTCCCGCTGCTCTCAAATCGGAGCTCTCACTGCTGGAAATCCCTGTTGGTGCCCTTCCCTCCCAACAAGCTCCCCTGCGCTTGCAGCGTCCGGCTGCCGCCTCGGCTCCCCAGCCCAGCGGGGCCCTGCAGCCTGTTCCTGGCAGAGGGTAAGCCTGCCCAAAGCTCTCCAGCCCTGGGGCGCGTGTGATGTGGGGTGACCCAAAGCACCGGGGCTGTTCTGCATGCTGACGTGACTTGTTCTCTGGCCAGTTGTATGCCATGGCGCGTAAATTCTGCCCCAGGTACAAGTGGATCCCCTTCAGCTTTCACTGCGAAGGGAGAGCAGCACTCTATCTTCACCATGCCTGGGTGAGAGGAAGGTGCAGACCACTCTCTGTGTTGCTTTGGAGCTCCCGTCTGTCTCCGGCTACGGTCTGACACTGAACCCCCCCACTCAGCTTTGGCTGAATTCACCCTCATTGAACATCGGTGGCCAGACTCGTACACAGTATTCCCGTTTAGTTTTATTCTTGTTCATATCTTTACAGAAAATGGCACATAAATCACAGATGCTGGATGACTAGAAGTTGTTACAGCTCCATATCTCAAACACCTTCATACTGAATTCTTTTCTCACTGTATATACATTATTTACACACCATGGGCTATCATCTAACACGTCAAATGACCGGGGGACAAAGACAAACAGGGGCCGGATGGAGGGACTTAACCTTTGACAGCAGAAAAACAGTAGCTCTGGGGAGAGGGTGCTCACAGCTGAAAGCAGGACAGAAAGGGTTGCCTTGAAGTCACTGTCCTACAGCTCTTGGGGGGGAATAGTGCCTTACCGGAGTGGGAAGGTGATGGCACCACGGAGCAGGTTTGGCTGCGTGGGTCTGTGTGCGCTCGTGTGGGGCTGGCTGGGAGACGTATGTACACGTTGCGGGGTGTGTTGGGGTGGATCTGCATGGCTGTCATTCCCTTTAACACTCAGAGGGTGAGTTGGACAAATTTAATTCAATAAATAAACTGGGTGGGTGTTGTTGTCTCACCTGGAGTGATGTATTCGGTAAATAAATTCACGTTTCGGCCCCTCCACAGGGGTGCGGGAGGCTCTGTGGGCTTTGGCGTTTGGGGCAATGAGAGCCAGCTGTGGTGGCCAGCCCTGCGGGAGCCGACGGCATGGGCTGAGGTCACCTCGAGGTGCCGGTGGGACCGGGTGTCGCACCCGCGGGCTAGACCTGCCGAATGGAGGCAGAACTCAACCGCCCCAAAGCCGCAGCCCCTTCCTGGCAGACCCCAGCACTGTGGGCGGGCAGAGGCGGGTGGAAAGGGCAAACCACCCTGGACAGAGAGTCGCCATTTCACACAAACACTGGCATGGGCTCATCCCGCTGCGGCCTGGGCCGGAGGCAGAGGCGATGGCCGGGGGAAGGCGGTGGGTCTGGCTGGGGCATGGCAGGACCGAACACCAGGGGAAGGGGCCTGGGCAGCACTGGGGAGAGATGTGCACCAAGCAGGGGCATAGCGGCAGGGGACAGGCTTGCGGATGGGGGACAGGGGCTGGGGCTGGAGCAGGAGGAGAGAGCCCCAGAGCTGGTCACGAGGCCAGAGAGACCCAGAGCCTTGGTGTCCTCTTGGGTGGCGACGATGAAGGGATGCTCCCCATTCCCCCGAAAAGAAGGGGTAAGGGGTGAGGAAGGCCCGGCGGGGCGGAGGAGCGAGGGGCAGGGGTACACTGGGAGGAGCAGGTGGGGGCCATCCCTGCCAGGCAGCCCCAAGCGCAGA